GATTCGAGAAAAATGAAACATTCATAACAAAAAAAATAAAATAAAATAAAAAAAGAGAAATTAAAAGCTTTCTGTATTTTATGTCCAATGTGACATGTGTTGTTCTTTTCCCTCTTTGTTTAAATATGGTTATTCATTTTATTTTTATCCTTACATAAACTTATCCCCAACAATAAAACACTAATCCATTTTGATTGGCTGAGATTTTAAAGGTTCTTTTTAATCAACCAAAATGTTGTTCCTAAATAAAAACTTAAGAGGATATAGAAGCTGCTGAGAGGTGCAATTATGAATAAACGTGCAACCTCACCCTACAGAAATTGAGGTGAAACTTGCAATCCGGACGGTCAGTGAGACAATACTTTTCAGTTTTTCAACAGGTAAGAAAACTAAATATAATGCCAAGCAACAAGCTATTGGCTTTTCTTTTTTCTTTATTATTCTTTTTCATATATAACATTTAAAAATGAACGTAGCAGCATCATTTTGAACTATAAATCAATACGGACAGTATGATTATGGCACTGTTCAGTTTTGTCTTTCACTGGCATGATATGGATGATCCCTATATACAACTCACCTCAAAACACACACTGCATCATGAAGGGAGAGTTGGGCTCAGAGACTTTGGGCTCAGGAGAGAGCTAATTAGATGTTGGTGCTATACTTCTGATGCAAGGTATAACATCCATATTGGTTCAGGCCTTTTAAATCATAAATCACATCATCATTAGAAGACTGCTGATAAAGGCATGTTGTCACAAAACAGCAAAACATGGTCATGTAAAACAAATCAGACTATTTTTCTTTTACCCACTCATTTTCAGTGTCACTAGGATCTGCAAATATCTGTTTATGTCCCTTCTTACTGGCTAAGCAAAAGCCTTAATTTAAAAACAGGTATGTAAACAAACAACACAAAGTTAAGACAATGACTTTACCTTTTCTTCAAGTTGGTTGAATATGAACTCTATGACCACGTCATCCTCAAACCCCAGAATCTCAGTCACACGTTGCGTAATCCATGGTTTGATGACTTCTAGGTTCACTTTGGTCATGTCCACCTAGGGAGAAAAAACATAAGACACCATGTTAATACAAAAAAAACAAACATGTTCTACAAAAAAGGAAACATTTTAATGTAGCAGCAATGTTGTAGTTCAGTCTTCACCAACAACTCCTCTCACTTACTTCTACTCTTACTACACGAAAGCCTTCTCCCTTCAGGGTTGGGCAAGACAACATTAAGTTTAACTGGACTTATGTGAGAAAAAAAAAAAAAAAAAAAGAAAAAAAAAAAGAGGAGTTAAAGATAATGAAGTCTAACTGATGCTTCTGCAAACACCCAAAAACGACCACAAATCGGCTGGAATCTCAAATATCTGATGTTTTCATGCCAATAGAAACACTCTCCTTCTGTTAATGTTTTTGTAGATTATTGGTTGGTTTTACATGAGTCAGTTGATTTCATACCTTTTGTTGTTTTCGTTCTATTACCTGATCAGTCCTTTTCTTACATTCTACAGTATAAAAGAAATAATAAAAGCTGATCTGATTTGTGCTAATATCGTATTGGGTCAATGTCAGTTTCAGCAAATTCTCAAAGCTGAAATATTGGTATCGTTTTGGAAGTTGTATCGGGACACCCTTAGTTTCAATTATCTTGTGCTTTTCAGGATTGCCCTGCGATGGACTGGCAACCAATCCAGAGTTTGCCCTGCATCTCGCCCAATGACCACTGGAGATAGGCACCAGCCCACCTGCATGGTATAGAAAATGGATGAATATTCAGCAGTTAATGCACTACTTTATTTGTCTGTTGCAGCAAATTATCTTCCTGATAAAATGAAAGTTCTATATTTACAGGAGTATTTGTGATTCTATGCAAGAACAATTTTATAGCCAAAAGGACCCACATGTATCTTTAACACTTTCTGTGATTGTTTTAAATGCCACTGTAGCAAAATATAGCAAGAATTAAAAATGTAAAGTCCAAATCACACATTTCCCACAATACGTGCAGCAATTCTTACTCACCTGAAGTATTTGGTGTCCATTTTGACAGTGATTCAATTATTTTCTAAGGCTTTGCAATTTTAAGTAAAAAAAATCCAACCAATTATCTGATCAGTTACCACTTCTAAGGTTTGGATTCTTCTAAGAAAAGGATTCTTTGTTTACTGCTGACCAAAGTAGAAAAGATAAATATTTATTTTACTAGACACCTACCAAACACCCACATGATTTTTGTGCGACTCCTAGGCAACAGTTTAATTTATGATAATTTGCTTATTTATCAGTAGCAGCTATTTTAGTTTGATAAGAGGTGTCAGCTAGTATTACTCATCTATACAGATAGAATAGTCTTAGGAACAATGTATACAATAAAAACCAAAACAATAAAGAACACCAGAGATTTATATTTTAATCTATGAAATAAAGTCAAGATCTTACCCACTAACCCCACAAGGAACACACATATTGTAATATATATTGTAATCCTTCACATTTTTTGTGCGTCTATTGATTTGACAGTCATAAATAGAAAATATCGGCTTGATTTGCACAACTCTTAGTGATATTTTACTTTTGCAGCTTGGCTAGAAGACTTCAAGTTCGCAGACTTTCACAAAAAAATAATAATTGTGCGATATAAACAGCAATTTCACTACTGCGTAAAGTTGGACACCACCCACCTTCTTGTCCAGACATTCTGCAAATTTCAGCTGCTTTAGCAGTTTTTTGTGCTTGTTGCTGAAACGGTTGTCTTGCTCCGCACTCGTACCCTAAAAAAATACAAGCAAACATTATTAGTCAGAATATCTGAGCTATTTCTAACTCTTCAAAATCAATATACAACTTTCGTAGGTGTCACCACAATCAAAACAGGTTGAAAGAAATGCAGGACATTATTGTGCAAATACTCAACTGACATGTTTCTAAGTTTTACAGTTAGAAAAACGTAAAAGTATTAGTGAATAGCTAATCGGAAACACAAGCGACGCACCGGGCAGGCGCCATCTTAAGCCAGGGTCTGGCCTAATTCCTGCAACAACCTAAAATAACCTAAAACACTACCAACCAGCAAAACAAAGGTTAACTAAATAAATCAAAAAGTACTTCCGCAAGCAACAAATTGTTCATATTAAAGCTTAGCTGAATAAAAGAAAGTCCCCCAAACCGGCATTCAAATTGTTTTCCATCAGTTGATAGACGAAGCCATGACCGCACCGCTTCCAACTGTATGGCCTCCAACTTAAATCACACACGCCGTATTGACGCCAAATAGCAATAATATATCACCATGAAATGAAACAAACGGGTTATAACGTATTATCAAGTTATTTTAAAGCACTTACGCGGAAAAATCCCGCGTCCATTTTCGTTGAAATACGATTGTGACAGGCGCCGTGAAGAAAGACGTACGTCGCCCCGGTGAAAATCTCGAGTGGGAGCCGGATGGAGCGGGCGCCCCCTACAGGAAGGAGCCAGGCATTACACGTAGAAACTGTTTCCTGTTGGGTCGGATTTTTTCTTCTTCTCCTTTTCTATTATGGCGGATCGCAAGCAAGTTTAAGGTGCATACCACCACCTACTGTGCATGAGTGTGTAGCAACATTACTTTACATCAAAATGTATTTTTTAATTTTGTATTCTGTAGATAAATAAATAATGCTTTCCTTAATCTATGAATATATTTTATATTTCCTTCATTTCCCAATATTCCTTTAAGAATCCATTCTTTACCAGTCCTTCCAAAGATCCTTCTCAATTTCTCCCTTTCATGTTCATAAGTTTTACAGTACATCAGCACATGTTCTATATTTTTTTTCTCCACATCCTTCACATATATAATTATTTTTCCTCCCTATTAAATATAAATAGTCATTTACATAGGTATGACCAACTCTTAATCTGATCATTATCACTTAATCCCTTCCTCTTCTCTCATTAATGATCCTGTTAATGAGATATGATTCTATTAATAATCGTTCGATATCTAAAAATATCACATTTGTATAATAGAATTTAATGCATCTATTTGTTGTTACTTGTTACAAGTTGTTACAAGAAGATTATGTAAACAATTCTATGCTATATATTTTGTTCTCTATTTAAGGTACAAAATAAACTTTCATTAGAAATAATCAAGCTGTAAGGCTACCAGGGATTAAATAAAAACAGACAATGGTCTTAAGATCATATGACTCTTTTGTGAGACACTTTTCTTTATTAGTTAAAAAAAATATATAGAAACATGAACCCATCATCCCAGCTCTGAATGAATGTGCTAACAGGGTAATTTTGTTGAAAATTGTTTGTTAAGCACGGCCTATGAACCTTGTCAGAGCTGGAGGAAATAATAATGGGCCTAAAAGCAAAGTATGAGAACATGAAAAATTATTCATGGTAAATCTCTAAAGTAAATAGGAGGGTTGAGCTTATGAAATATAGTTAACCAAAAAAAAATAAAAAATAGATTTTCAGACATTTCTGAGTTGGTGCCTATGGAAAAGGATTAGGGCCGTTGAAAAAAAAAGAAAAAAGGTATTTATATCTGAATTTAATTAAATTATTCCTCAGGTTCAAGTCAAAATTCTGAGATTGAAGTCAGAACTCTGGCCATAGGTCAGAATTCATTAGCCTTTTTTTTTTTTTTTTTTGAGTGACCCTAATCCTATTCTGTATGTCCCTTTTCAAATATCTATCAATTTTCTCCCACACTTGTTTTTGGTGCAGTTTTATCTCATTGATTCTGAAAAATTATTTAGAATTATAATTGGAGATTATGATTAATAATCCATCATTTTAATCAAAGGCAAAAAGTAATGACAAAAATATACTATATTTATTTTGCCGTTATTTATTATTAACTGTGTAGCATCATTATCTTTTTCTATGGATAGAGTAAAACACTACTTCGTCTGAATAATATTTTTATTGTTCTTGAACACCATATTTTTATTCACTATCAGAAATAATAGTTATTCAAACCCAGTTCTGTCTAAGAAAATCAAATAATCTCCTGTCAAAGATTCTACATCGAGGGTCTATTAATTTTATTATTAATATCATGAAAGAGTGAACAGAGAGACATAATGAACATTGTGGTAAATACAGTCCAGAGTTAGATGAGCAGCCATTCCAGAAGATTCTGGTTTAAACAATGGTTTGGTTACTCTGAAGGCTGCAGCTGGTCCATACACTGTAACACAAAGGGTGATGTAGTGCTGCATGGAAAGATCAATGGCGCTAAAGCAAAGTATGAGAATGTGAAGAATTGATAGTAATGGTTACTTTCTCATATGTAAAGAGAAGCTTATGACGTTACACAAAACAAATATGATAAAAAGCTTAAACAGTGCATGATTTCCTGAAGCAGACTGAGACATTTCTGTTTCCACTGTAAATTGTAAGGCTCTGACTTGGAGCTACTGGTAAAAGACAGATGCTGTGTCAAAGTGAAGTAAGAGCAAGCATATGGGTAAATGCAGGCTGAAGAAATGCAGTGGTGTAGCATTTGTCTCTCTGCTGCTGAAAAGGCAGTGCTAGCTGACTGGAAATCCCTCTCTGGTCCTCTTGTCTCTAACAGAGCACAGCATATCTGTCACCATCTCATCGAGCCCAAAGGCTGGAGCCCAGCCCCAATCCCTCCTGGCGTTGGAGTCATCAAATCTTACAGGCCAGCTGTCTGCTGCAAAGTAACACAAATGCATCATCAGGTGTATGGTAGAATAGTGGGAGTTTAAGAGCAATTAAAATGTTTATTTCTGAATAGAAGAATATGAGGGTTAAATTAAATTAAAAGGTAATTAAACTGGTAATCCAGGCTGGTCCTAATTTCAGCGTGTGAGGGCCGGTCCTCCTTAAATCATACAGGCCCTAAGACTTACTCTCCGGCCAAAGCACCTACCTGTGACAGTAAATAACTCAAGGACCTCATGAAGTAATACAATGTTAACTAATAAAATGATGCATGCAGTATAAATCGCCCTTCCTTGTCATGCACATCCTTGATGTTAGCATATGGTGTAATTTTCTATTTCTATTTCTACAAACTGTAAAATCCTTGCAACAAAATAAATTATAATAAAACTAAAATGCTTTCTTTAAACCAAACTACGATGTTCCTCTTATATTTGGTGAATTTATGTTAGAATATTTTGCAAAAATATGCTGCGGTGCATGATGAGGTTTTGCATCTAAAGGCAAACGTTTCCTGTATTACGTGCATTGTTGCCAGGTTGGGATGTTTCCCAATCTGGCAGTCTAGGATGGCCGTCTATGGGTGAAAAATGCTTTTTTTTCGATTTATGTTCTAAGAGATCAGTAGACTTTGGTTCAAATTGGGCGACATTTCGTATATCAAGGCGGTTTATGAACATTATGAACAGGTTGAGTCCATAAGTGGAAAAATGCCAGGGTCGAAAATCGTTTCCAGTCTGAGCCTGCAAAGAGTGGTACCACAAATAAATTAATCATCCAGCTTTATTACTATTATCTCATAAAAATAACCTGTGTTGTAATATTGGTACCATTTACTTTAGACAGCGCCTTTGCAGTTCCTCTCCATAGAAAGTATTATTCACCCAGTGGTTCTACCAGTAGGTGTGTCACTTCTTCAGAGAACCATGAAAGGTGCTACTGTATTTTTACCATTGACCTTTTTGCTTAAAAAAAAAAGAAATACACCCATCTAAGTGCACTTATTCATTTACAGCTTTGTCTCTTTCCTGGATGAAGCCGTTATCTGGCTTTTGTTAACTTTGAATATTTTTTTTGTTTTTCTTTCCCCACAAACTACTCCTGATTCTGTTTTTTTTTTCTCTTTGGCTGCATCTCATTTTCTATAGTATAGAGATACTGGCTGAGTTTCTGGTGCCATTAATTTTGAGAAACATCTTTGTTTTTTTTTCGCACATAAAATAACCCTATCCCACTGATTTCATATGTAGTGGTGTTACTTTCCTTGACAGAGAACCGAAGGTTTCAATGCTCCCATTAACTCTATATAAAATGATCTATGTGTGGTTTTGTCAAGCTGCAGTAAAGAGGGTTGAACAGAGCAATCGCTAAAATTAACTCTATATACCCTCTTTTTTATCTTCAACAAAGATGGTTACTGCTGACCCAGTTCTTTTTTTTCTGTTTCATTTTCCTGTCTTCATAACTTTAACTTGTTGAAAGCAGAAAACCAATCACACTGTGTTCAGTTCCTCCCCACTGTCACCACATGCTTCTTCACCAGGGACTGCTGCAAAGTCTACAAGGCTTCCTTACATTGTTAACTTTATTTCAAACTGATAATGTATTACCGACTACACCTGAATCAACACAATTGGATTGTTGTAGAATATTGAATGGAATTGGATTTTAAATGTTTGCAAAGAAACTGGTTCTGATTGGTTTGTAAAGTGCCTGTACGGTGGATGACATTTGTCATGAATTTGTGAATATAAAGAGACTAAAGTGAATTGCATTGACATGACATGTTGAGGATAGGCTGGTTAAGCATTTTTAACACTTGTTTTTAAAGCCCTTCATGGTCTCACTCCGCTATATTTACTGAGATATTAAATATAGCTCTCTGGTCTGTGATCGTTCCTTTGAGTTTACCGCACCTAAAGTGTAGAACAATCTGCCCCTCGGTCTGCAGGTTCTCACTGATCTGCACCTTTTTAAGTCCAGATTAAAGACTCTTTTTTTTAAACTGGCTTTTAATACTTAAGCCACATTGTTTTATGCTTATGATTTTGGTATGATTTTTTTTTTTTTTTGCAATGTTTTTATCTTTCTGTGAAGCACTTTGGTCTTCCTGGTGTTGTTGTAAAGTGCTATATCAGTAAACTTTGATTCGATGTCTAAATGAGTTGTGCAATTCATATATAAACAAAAATGTTCATGCAACACGTTTGCATAGGTCATACCAATTGTCTGGCGGACAGAGTCTGGATTGTAGGTGACCTTAAGGTTTGGGAGATGCTTGCGGATTTCTTGGGCCAACTCTTGTGGGGTAAAGCTCATGGCAGCTATGTTGTAAGTGCGCAAAGACAGCTGACACTCTGGAGTTTGCATAAACTCTATGGTGGCGCGATGGCAGTCAGAGATATGCATCATGGGAAGTCGGGTGTCAGGTCTCAAGTAGCACTCATGGTGACCTGTGCTGAGAGCATCGTGGAAGATCTGAACTGCATAATCTGGAACGACATAAGTCTTAAGATTTTAGTCAATCCTATCTATCTTATCACAATGGATTTACACTGAATGCCAGATGACTTTGACTTGTACCTGTTGTTCCTCCACCAAGAGGAGTGTTGACTGATATAACCCCAGGGTATCGCAGGCAGCGGAAGTCCAATCCATATTTATGATGGAGATACTTAAGAAAGAAATGATAAAGATTAGGTCATTTTTGTCATATTATGGCCAAAAAACTTTATTTAACTGCAATTTATCTAATAGACTGACAAAAAGTAGAGCATGGGCTAATTAAGCATTTTGTAAAATCATGTTTTTAAACTTATATTCTGTGTTCTGCCATCTTTTACTTATTACTCCGTAGAAACACCATCTGCTACAGTGCTAGGTGTTCAGAGATAAGTATGTCTCTGCCAGCTTTACTCATCTAAAGACTTACATTTTTGTCCTTTTGTCTTTGCCATTAGCTTAAGCTCAAGCAGACTGTGTGTAGAACGTCCGTGCACTGCAATTTTTATGTATTTCCAAAGATTTTCAAATGGATAAAATACTTGACTTTGTTTGGATCCTTCTAACACTTATACACATGTTTTTTTTTATATTGAATATAAAATATTCAATTGCAGCTCAAAATTGATTTTCCTTGTTTTTCTGAAGAAAAACATACCTATAGTATGATGCTGCCACCACCGTGCTTCACTGCAGAGAGGTTGTATTTATATTAATGGGTAGTGATCAATGTCCTCCTCATATAGAATCTACATGCTTGCTGTGTTCCCTTCATGACTTTTGATAAATAAAACTGACTTCCTTAGGTTTTTCTTTCACCATAAGCTTCCTTTCTGTTAATTCTTCATAAAGACTAAATTTGTGAATTGCACAACTAATATTTCTACTAGAGCTGTCAATCTTTGCAGCTCCACCAGAGTTTCTATTTACCTCAAGGTTCCTTCTCTGATTAATTCCCTCCTTCCTCTGCTCATCACTTTAAATGAATAAATAGGCTTTTAAATTTATCTGGTGGTATCCAATGAAAAGTAGATGACCAAAAAAAAAAAGCAGATTCAGATTTTTATTTGTAAAAAAAGACCCACCATCATGTTATTTTCCTTTACTCTCCCTATGATAATCTGCCATGCTCTATCGCATCATGTCCCAATAAAATACAGTGGTGTTTTTGATCATAAAGTGACAAAACAAAGAAAACTTAATGAGCATGAATACTTTTGTGAAGATTTCTTTCCATTTAAGTTTGCGTTTGCAAACTGTACCTCTCCCATCAGTTCCCCGTGCACTTTAGAGACTCCATAGATGGTTCTCGGACGCTGGACACAGAGATCAGGGGCAGGATCCCGTGGAGAAGAAGGACCGAATGCTCCAATAGTGCTAGGGACGAAGAGGCGAAGGCAGTTCTCCAGGGCCAGGTCCAGGACATTGTGTAGACCTGGAAAGGCAATAGAAACTCAGATATGGGCTGCTTGAAACCTTCACCAGACTTAAAAAAATAATACATTCTAACATTGGATACCAAAACTGACCTGTGATGTTTATCTTTCGGGCTAAAGCCACATTAGCCTCACCCACAGCACTAAGCAAGGCGCTGTAGTGGACCAGCCAAGTAATGCGGTTATTTACTATCAGCTCTCTGAGGCGCTTGTAGTCCAGCACATCGGCATACACAAACGGGCCTAAAAGAGAAATAATTAAGAATAAAAAATGGAAAATGAGAAACCTTTTAGAGATTAAAATGTTTCAGATGGTAGAACCTAAACAGCCTTTCCTCACCACTGGCATAAACATGCGATGGGGGCTTCTTGATGTCTGACAAGATTACGCTCTCCGGTCCATACTGGCTCCTGGAAATCATCAAAGTTACAAGATAGTTCCAGTTTCAAATACTTTAATGTTTATGTCAGGAGTTTGCCGGAACTCACCTCAGCATCTCAGCTAGACCCACACCCAACTGCCCCAAACCACCTGCACACAGAGACATGTGACTAAAAAAATAATGTAGATATATTCTTACATCAATAAAGGTTTGGCTCGAATTTCATGTAGAAAACACACAAGAACGGTAGACAAAAAGGGTTTTTGTTTGTGCCAAGGCTTTATTCCAGAACAAACGTCACCCAAGGCTATTATTCTATTTCCTTTTATCTCCCAAACACTGTCTGTTCTCACTCTATTGTGTTTAGTCAAAATGGGGGTCCTGTAGCAAGTGCAGGTTGAAAAACAAAGTGCACGTGTCTCTTGTAATTCTCTGTTGTGGACAAATGCTCACCAAAGCTTCTTTCCTTAAACTGTCAAATTTGTCACATTTTATTGCATCTTTTTTATAAATGATCTGAGGAATTTTTCCTATTACTTTGCTCACAAGATGCCCATCACCAAAGCACAGCAGAGTCAAAAGTACACACATTTGTTACTTAAGTAGA